TCCTTCTCAAGCTGTAGCAGCACAGCCTCTCTCAGTCCAGATTTCAGCAGCCTTTAAGCTATTTGCAAGACATCTACATGCATTTGTAATGAGCTGTACACTTGCTTTAAGCGATTGCTGCTGAGGTGGCACAGAGTACAGCTATCTTGCTGTGCAGGCCCACCCTTGCACATCAGGCCCTCCAAATGCTGCATGCAGCTCTTTCTCAGCATCACCCAAAGGTAGGCGAGCTCGGAGTGTCTGCCAGCAACATCCTTTCCCCTTGTAATTTACCACGTTAGTCAGCCTTACCACAGAAACATACAGGTTGTGTGTGACTCCCCATCCAAAACTAACAGTGTGTTTTGAAACCTGCTATCCCCTATGATGCAGCAATGACAGCTAATACACCGGGTACTTTTCCTGAGGAAAAGCTGGGGTGTAGTCTTACAGGATTCATGTTGCCTTCGAGTTAGTGTTTGAGAAGCATTTGGCAGGGGTTATTTTGTCCAACTTTCTTGCTTCAGAACCTGTGCTTTTGCAGACCTGTACCCTCAAAGTGCCCAGCTCCTTTGGCTCTGTGCCTGTAAATCAAGCTGAAGGGTCTCTCTGTGGTATATTGGCTGTCTCTCCTACATATCTTTTTCGACAGTCCTCTTCTACGTTTTGCTTATCGTAAAGGCTAGGAATCACAGTCTACTGTTAAAACCTTCCATGGCCCAGGTACCTAAGCATATTCCAAGCTCTGCTACCATGATCAATACTTGCTGGTCTCTCCAAACACAGCACAAGCAGCTCTCCTCCTCCAGAACTGCCCCTGGAGTTTCATGCTGTTACAGTGCTCCATTCCTGATGGTGACATGCAAAGCCCTGGGCTGTTTGGGAAGAAAACAGAAAATCTATAGCTTTTTCCCCCTGCTATACTGGGGTTCACCAGAGCACTCTCTTTTCTAGCAAGTAATAATTTTCCTAGAAAATCCAGGCAGCACAAGGAAGCTGTTCTCCCTATTCCTGAAAAGTGCCCAGGGCACTTATTTATACAAAGCTATCCACAGGTAAAACCAGGGTAGGTGTCACCAAGAAACCTGCAGGTTCCATGTCAGGTCCTCAGCATGTGGCCTTCGCTGTAGTCAAAAATCCATGCTGCACTGCTAAGGAGACAGCAAAAGTGGCTTTTGTTTATTGATATATAATGTCCAGGTACATTACACACCTAAACGTTGTAAATAGCATTGCAGAGAGTCCTTGCCAAAGCACATACTCCTGTCTGTCTCCCACAGGTGTATTGGGATCCTGGGCAGTCTGATCCCATTTCCGGGAAAGCATTACTGGGAGGTGGAAGTTGAGGAAGATACAGAGTACAGAATTGGCGTGGCTTTTGAAAACACTCCAAGACATGGTTATCTGGGGGCAAACAACTCATCCTGGTGCATGAGGCATATCATCACACCATCGAGGTAAGGGCTGTGGAGGCTACAGGTCTCCTACAGGAGCACATCCTACATGTACACCTTCAGGCAGAGCAGCAGAGCGCTCCTACTTGGCATGGGGCAGACGGAGCTTTTGTATCAAAGCCCAGCCCAAGCGCTTCATCAGGAGCCTCTGACATTCCGCCATTGGCACTGTGAACTGGTGTTGGAAGAATACTGGAACCTTTAAGCAAATCCTGCTGCTTAATGACATTCTCACATTGAAATAGGCAGTCCCAGGAACAAATCTGAATAAAATCTGCATTACAGACGTTAGCTGTAAAGGCCTTGTTTTAGGTCACCAAAACCCCAGTAAGAATACAGAGAGTAATAGATCCATGTAACCTAGAAACCACCTATCTATCTGGCTAAACCCAGTTGTATGCAACTGTTTTTTGATCTCTCTTTCCTACCTATGGAAGTACTAACAGCCATACCTGAATGCAGAAATGCCAGCTCCCCTTGTGCCTCAGCTGAACCCGCTGGCTCTCCCCCAGACACCATTATATTAGCATCATTGCCTTTGACTCCCATGTGAGATTTGGGCACCCTATGAAGCACCCAGGAGGGAGAAAACAACTCACCCCCCAGGCAGCCCCGAGTATTGCCTGCTGCCAATCTGAATGGCTCATCGCTCAGCCTGCAAGAGTTGCCAGGGTGCTGCTGGGTCCCCTTGAACAGGGAGCCTGGATACCACCGGAGTGTCCCCAGCGTGCAGTGTCAGCAGATGCTAAGGATGGCATAGCATGGGCCCAAATCTGCCAGTCCTCCACCTGCTGGTACACAGGGAGGGGTTTTAGATGCAGCTCAGTTGGCTGGAGCACACGCTCCTCCCCAGGCGCCTGCTGCTCTCAGCTCCCCAGCAGCTGGGCCACTGCACAGCCAGAGTCCTTAGCGGTGCTGGCATTCGCCTCCCACACAGCAAGAAATGCTGCTTAATGAGAGAGACCAAACCCACTAAAGCTGATGACTCTCCCATACCTTGCAGGCAGGCTAATTTGATTTCCTTGCTACGTTGAGCTAAGAGGCACATTGAGGTTTGTTCTCATTCTTCTGGAGCAATGAGCATGGACTTCAGAGAGAAAAGGGAGCTGGGCCATTGCTCAGTTTGAGTCACTGTGATACCCATTTCTGCAGGGAAACTGTCTCAGGATTGAGTGGTGTGGGTGGAGGACGTGGTTACTGAAGAAGCCGGCCCTTATGAAATGCCAGATAACTCACTTCAGCTGAATAAATCTTCTCATTTCTGCTCAGAAAGGCACATGTTCCCATAGAAGTCTCATATTTTTGGTTGCAGCGTGCCACACTAGGGAGAGCTGTTTGAGTAACTGTTGAAGAATCTCAGCGTTACTCGAACAGTGACTACACGGGGAAGAAGAGGGCTACCCTCAAGACAAAGCTGCTTACATACAGAGCACCTTCCTGGCCTCCACCGTCCAGAATCACAATTAGAAGATGTCACCCTCTAGTAAATGAGCACGAAGAGTGGAACTTCCCCATCAACACAGCCCTGGCTTAGCAGGGAGGTCCTGTAGGAAAAGCAGCCAGAAACATTAGAGAGTGGGGTTTGAAAAATTATATCCAATTGTCTGGAGGTTGCATAGCCACACTGTGAGTCAGGCAGCCTCTGCCCAAGGGACCGTGCTCCCTCGCTGCTGCTGTGAAGGTGGGCGTGAGCAGTTCCCCTCACTTTGGCAGGAGAGAGGGCTCAGTACCACAGGCGCTCAGGGAGCAAGTGGGCAGCATGGCAGGGCCGGGAAGGACAGGACTGGGTCACCTCGCCAACTCGCTCCTTGGCAGTGCCTACAGCTATCTAGGGACAAGGCTGAGGGGATGATGAGCATTGTTCTGGGGCAAGCCTTACTGGTCTAACAGAGCACAGCTCCTTCACAAAGGACAACTTCAGGCTAAACCTAGCGGCAAGGGTGCACCCTCCGATTTACATAACACCCACACCACCCTCTGAGACACAGAAAAAAACTGGAAGTTCCATGTTGCGCTCTGACCTCGTCCATATCTAGGGGCTACCACCCATCCATTCACAGCCAGACTGGGATACAAGAGGCCTGTTACATGGGTTGGGCAGGTCCAAGCACTGAGGATAAGGCTGTGTGGAAGCGAGGAGTGCGCAGCTCCTTGGCAAACACAGCCATTGCTCAGCAAAGTGGATGGGACTGGGGCAGTAACCACAAGGCACACAGGAGGGATGGGACTGTGAAGCAGGAAGCATCCCCTGGAACACCCCCCTGTGCCCAAAGCCCTTCCCTTGAGAGCCGCCAGGGTGCCCTCAGGTTCTTTGTGTTTCTTGTCTACAGGCACAAGTACGAATTCCTGCACAGCGGGATGACGCCAGACATCAGAATTACTATCCCCCCCCGAAGGATTGGCATCCTGCTGGACTATGAGAACTGCAGACTATCATTTTTCAATGCAGATATCGCCCAGCACCTTTACGCATTCAAATCCCACTTCCAGCATTATGTCCACCCCTGCTTTGCTTTGGAAACACCCGGCATCCTACGGATACATACTGGAATTGCGATACCCCCATGGACTGCCCTCCCATAGCCTGTGTTCTGCAGCTGCCACATCTACACGTAGCCTGCGCTGAGCAATGCCTTCTTTCAGCATTAACTGCTCCATCGCACTCCCTATAAACCAGCTGCCTCCCAAGACACAGAAAAGACCTGACCCAAACCAGCTGCCAGGCCTGAGCCCTCATGACTGTTTCTGTCCTCTTAGGCAGAGTCTTAACAGAAAACCGTTATGCTCTCAAGATCCATCAGCATCCCAGAATTCTCCAGTTCGAAATGGGTACCATCCTCCTCAGAGGCGCCACCGTCACCAAGCAGCAGCGGCAGCTGGATCACTGGTTCTCCCAGTACCCATTTGAAGCCTAGAGAACTCCCCTGTTCCAGAGCAATCGTTAATTCCACTCTTGTGGCTTCTGAAAGGCTAAAAATTCAAAGAAAAACAAAAATAGCAAAAGGCATAATCACTGTACAGCTGCGAGACACAAGCTGGAAACTCCATAAAGCTGATCTCACCATCTTGTCACTACATGACGTCTGTGATACCAGATAATCAAACAGGCCTCCCTCGTGTGTGAAGTGTTAGCACCTACCACACACTTTCTGAAATACCTGAGCACGTGCTACGGTCTCAAATAATAAAAGACATTTTTACAGAATGCCCATGCTTCTCATTCATTCACCCAGGGAAAAAACAAAAAAACCAATCGAGGCCTTTTGCAGTGCTCAATTGCCCCTGTGGAGAAATCCAAAGCATCGTTTTTAGCTTGTTCCTTGTTGGCCGTGCTCACCTCCACCCAGGCATATGCTCCACACTCACAGGTCTGTTCTCCCCCTCAGCACTGAGGACTCGCCCCTGACGCTGTGCCCTTGAAGCTCTGCACGTCCAGTGGGGGCTGGCCCAGCACTCAGCTGAAATGTTCTTGTTCCTGCTTCATTTCCAGACACCCGACAATCAGCCAGGCACTGCCCCTCAGGCAGGCCTAGCTCTTAACAGCCTCATTCGTGTATGTCAAAACTACCTGAATTCAGTCAAGAGTCATTAACAGAGAAGCTTTTCCACAGATTTATTGCTCATTCATTACAAAAACCATTGGTTCAAGTTTCCATTCTAGGGGATAGCAAGGAACAGGCAGCGGCCTCTACAATATACAGGGTCCCTACAAATAAACAGCCTGGCAAAAGCGAGATTTGATGTAGAACCATGTGCCAAAAGCTTGTCTGTTCTTCCCCAAGTAGCTTAAAAAGTCTCCCCAAAACAGGCTTTGCAGAAACCGTAAAACCAGGAGCCGAGTATGTCATTACGGCAGCGACTGGTTTCTCCTGCTCTTGTTTTGCAAGCCGCAAAAGAAGATGGGTTTAGCGACACGCAGCTATGCAAGTACAGTGCCCTTTCTTGGCCTACCAGGAGTTCAGGGTCGCGATGGTCCCTCTGTCAGACCTCCTGCAAGGCAGGCCAGAGACTTTCAGTTGCTACCTCCTGCAGTGAGCACAAGCTGTGCCCCGCAGAAGCAGGGACTCAGCCAGGAACCACTGCCAGTGCAGAGGGCAGGAGGCAGCCACGCGCGCCCTGCTGACATTGGCGAGGCCGCACCAGAGAACAGCAGCTGAAAGCAAACAGCTCCTCTGCCAGGGGCTGAAGTGGCCAGAGAGCACCACCCAAGTTGTTTTAACACTTTTTTTTTTTGGCTTAAAAATGTATGCCTTGATTCAGGGTCCAATTTCCACCCACCGGAACATGTTTAACCTTTATCTGCCAAAAATGGAGAGCCACACACTTCCTTTCAAGTAGATATCTGAAAGAGTAAAAGACATCGGTATCAGGGCAGAGGTATGAGGATGTCTGAACCTCGCAACAATGCCTTTAATGCAGAAAGGCCGCTGGTGAACCCAACAATTCTGATGAAAGCAGATGTCCTCTAGTGAACAGTCCCACCACTCCCCACCAACAGCTTTTGCCTCAAGTGTTTAAACCGCACCTGTGTCCTGGCGCCAGGATTAGCCGTTCATCTCAGATGATATAAGAACCCAATCCAAGCTATTTTTCAACTGGTGAACTGCCCTGGGAGTCCCCGGGACTTCCCAACCCTCCTGCAGGACTGCTGCAAGGAAGATTTTCTGAGCCAAACATGAGGTGCTTGGACACCCTCAGCGTGGGACTCTACGGGTACCAAACAGCTCTGTCATTGCGTCGCCAGCCTGATGGATCTGTTGGAGAAGGCAGGCCTGATGGCTGAGCGCAGAGCAACCTGCTCAGCAGAATATGGCTCGGTGGTCATTGCCAGGCATGGTACAGGACAGCTCAGGCAGCAACAGAACTATCTGAAAAAAAAACAAACAAGTAAGCAGTAATTGGCTACTACATTAAAAACAATATGGGAAACGAGTTTGCATGTTTCTGTTTAATAAAAGCTTTACCTGTCAGCAATAACCCAAAAATTTCCTCCCTTAGGAATCCCAATCCTTTCACTTAAATATTTATATAGCAAAGGAAAAGGCATGAAACACCCAAATTTTTTAAAGCCAGATGTCACCATGAATCACCTTTACATAAATCCTTTCCAGGGAAGCCACCACTTCCACTACAGGGTCTATTGATCAGACTAGTATGGCACCCAAGCTGGAAGTTCACATGAACCTCAGCTTTCTGCGTGAGTCCACCCATAAGACTGTGGGTAAGGGCCAAACCTGGTA